ACAGACTGCTGATACAACTTGCCTTTTGGTTTAAGTATGCAGGCTTCTGCAGATGAAAGGTGACAAATAGTCCCTCACTGCTTCCTACAGTTTACAAAGCACTGTCAATCATTGTATCAGAAAGCTACGCTGCTATAAGCTCAAGTGCCAGCACTAGAACTAGGCCTCTCACTATCAGTCCGATCTTGATTTTTCCTAAGAATCTACAGAGCCTGGCTGGCGTGGCTCAGTGGTTGAGCATCAGCTAATGAACTAGATCACAATTCAATTCTGGTGAGGATACATGTCCAGGTCGAGCCCTCAGTATGGGGCATGTAGGAGGCAACTAATCAATGATTAGCTCTCATCATTGATGTTTCTCTCTCCCTTCCTCTCTGAAGTCAATAAAAATATATTTCAAATAAAGAATCTATGGAGTTCCAACTATATTCCATATAGACACACTGTGTGACAAGTGACAACAAAGCAATCATTCCAACACAAATTTCTATTACTTATCTCTACATATTTATGGGGAACTATCACTTGCCTTCTGTTAAGCTCCCATAGCTTAATGCAGAGGTACGAAATATCTTCCCCTATCTTTAGCCCTAAGGATAGACTGTCAACCTAGGGATAAGACAGAATGTTCTTATGTTGGTCAAGATTTTCTATCTGTTTAGACCAGATGAGAGCCTGGTGTAAGTACTAAGACACAAATTTGACTGTGAATAATTTTCTCTGCACCATAATCTTTGTTGGGTAAGGCATCATGGTACGGACTCCAGAAGCACTAAATGATTTATGATGGTGGCTGCTGAAGAAGAGTACACTCTCTACCTGGATAAAACTATACAAGCAATCATCTGAAAAAACAGAGCAGGGGAGGATGTTTAATTTAGGAAAAAACACATCCAATACTAGAATTTTGTCTTAGAAAACACTATTTTTTTTATAATACAAGTTACATAAAATAAAGGTGGACACAATTGTAGGTGATCCTCAACCAGAGCATGAATGTTTGGGATTTTTAATGCACTAAAAGAACACCCACTTTGAGACAGAGATTCTATCTTTTTGCAACCCTAAAGTTTTTGGAGGGAATCCCAATTCAGTCTTTGGTCAGGAAAGGGGACTCTCTGCAGACCTAGCCTTACCATCCACCTCAAATGTAGGCAAAGGATGCCACCTTGTCCATATCTGGAACTCCATCAGACTATCCTCCATCTACCATGGTCCTATCCAGTGATACTGAAGACATTGGGGCTACGTGGCAGTATCATAACAATGTTAATCAGGAGGGGAAGAGAGCAGAATTTTATAGGATTTTACATTGGAAGAATGCCTTGGCAGTGAGGGGTAGCCCAAGGCCCTTCCCAGAAAAAGAAACAGGCACAGGGGCCAGGACTCAGGCTCCATTTTGATCCAACGTTTATTATCCTTTTACAACATGTCATTTTTGGTTTAGAAACTGCTTGTGATTAGTTTTCCAACATTAACTCAAAAGCATGTAAAATAAAATCAACCTACTCTCTATATAAACACCCAGCAACTGTGGCCCTTCATCCTCCTGCCCAGGTTGGGTAGGGGGAAGAAGGGAGGGCTCAAGAAGCACTGAGTGAAGTACAGTTGCTTTACTGTGGGGAGTGGCGGTAGTGCCTTGGTTCCACACCCACACAGAATCCCTGCACTGCCCCCAACTACAAGAGAAATGATGTAGGCCCAAGGCCCAATTCTCTGTTGGTAATTCACTCTCTGCCTCCCAAATGAAAATCGCTTTTATTTTATCACTTTTGTTTTGTGTTTGTTTTTTTTCAACAGAAACCCCTGTCCAGAGTCTGACTGTAGCTAAACTGTTCAGACTGAGGAATGGAACAGGCCGCAGGCGCACCCCTGGTCCCTCCTGGGCAAGCGCCCCCACCCTCAGGGAACAAGGTCCAGCCAGGCCGGCTTGAAGCACACTGGCCATCGTCACTTAGCCATAGAGGTCATCATCATTGTCTTCCGTGTATACACTGCCACCTGTGCCGCCTCCACTGCCCTGGCTGGGGCCAGCTCCACCCTGGTTTCCTGAAGGGAATCTGTGCACAAAAGCAGAAGCAAAAAAAAATAAAAAAAAATTTAAAGGTAGGGGTTAGGACAGGACCTGTATAGGACTTTCACAACTACCGCTCTAGCCTCCTTAGGACTCCCACTAACTTGGTTGTGTAATTCCCCAAGGCAATTTAAGCATTCCCCACTGTCGCCTAATTACCTGAAACTGCCAAAGCCCCGACTCTGCTGAAGGGTCTGAGCAAACATCTCATATTTTCGAATATCATTGTCACTGACAGAACGGCGGGCAAAGCGCATGGCCTCCTCAAAGTGATCTCGGCGGATCTCAGGCACTGGATCATCTTCTTCTACCTCCTGTAGGGTTGGTAAACACAGACCACAAGGGTAGTTAAGGCTCAGTCTGGATCCCATCCCTGGCCTTCTTGCCCCTCATTACTACAGTAACCTGTTGGTCTTCCTGCCTCTCCAATACAACCTAAGCAAGTCACCAGGCAATCTTAGTAAAACTGAATCACTGCCCTGCTTAAAAACCTGTCAGTACATTCTGAAAAAGGCAAAACTGTAGGGACAGAAATCAAATCAGTGGCTGCCAGGGACTTAGGGTAGTAAAAAAAAAAGGAACGGGTTGCCCTGGCTGGTGTGGGTCAGTGGTGAGAGCGTTGGCCCGCAGACCAAAGGGTCTCAGGCTTCCTAACCAGTAAAAGATAGGTAACTGGTTTGCAGGCTCAATCCCAATACATGTGTGTGCCTCTCTGTGTCTCTCTTCCCTCTTCCTCCCTCCCTAAAAATGAAAAAAATACCCTCGAGTAAGGATTAACTACACCCCCCCAAAATAAATAATTTTAAAAAAGAGAAACCGCCCTAGCAGGTTTGGCTCAATGGATAGAGTGTCGGCCTGGGGACTGAAGAGTCCCAGGATTGATTCCAGTCAAGGGCATGTACCTTGGTTGCAGGCACATCCCCAGTAGGGGGTGTGCAGGAGGCAGCTGACGGATGTTTCTCTCTCATCAATGTTTCTAACTATCTCTCTCTCCCTTCCTCTCTGTAAAAAATCAGTAAAATATATTTTAAAAAAATAAAAATAAAAATAAAAAAGAGAAACCGACTAAAGTGGCCCAAGGGAACTTTTTGGGATGACAGAAATTTCTATCTCTACTGTAGTAGTAGTTACAGAACTCATACACATTAGTCAAAGACGTAAACAGTGCATTTTTACTATATGTGGATTATGCCCCAGTAAATCCAAGTTTTAGAAAGAAAATACAGCTACCGTATTTGCCGGCGTATAAGACTATTTTTTGGCCCTGAAAAATATGCCTCCAAGTGGGGGGTCGGCTT